TTTTTTTTTTTTTTATGAAGTTTAGTATTGTTCTTTCGAGGTCTGTGAAGTATTTCGCTGGAATTTTGATGGACATTGCATTGAGTCTATAGATTGCTTTTGGAAATCTATCTATCTATCTATCTATCTATCTATCTATCTATCTATATATATGTTATATATATAACATTTTTACTATGTTAATTCTACTTACCCAAGAGCATGCCATGCTGCAATTATAATTAATAATTTACATTATAGTTCAATATATTATATGATACATAATAAATAAATATAAAATAAAATCAATAATTGATACCAAGAAAAGTAATCAAGCATGTTGTTTTATTTCATTGCATATTAGATATTGTCAAATTGTTATAACTTTATACTATATACTTGATTAAAACAACCAGTTTAAATTCATATAGGTCTAACAGCTGTCCCATTATGATGGGACATAAACTGAATGAACCCTACTTTGGAACACTAAGCAGTGCCCCACCCTTGCAGGTTTTTCTTTTTACAGAAACACAACAGTCCTAAAAGGAGCTTGCTTATCACCATTTTCAGTTTTCTGACACTTGGAGAATTGTGTAGAGCTCCAGAATCACATAATGACCCAGTCATGATCCTGGTTTGTCTGGTGCTAGAGACCTTAACTTGTAACCCTCCACATTAAGTCCCATGTGAGGATGAGTCACAAAACTGGCTTTGCCTGGGTCACACACATGGTTGGTGACACATGAATCCCAATTGTTTTATTTAGACAATAAGTTTATTCCAGGTCTACAAATCTACCATAATAAAGTAATAATGAGAAACGTGTCTGTGGGTGGGATGAGAGCATTGGAGAGAGGAGACAAAATGTTTTCTTCCCTTCTCACCCCTAACCCTGCAGCATATGGAATGCTTGCCTTTAGTTACAAGCAAACTGATGCTGTTAAAGCGTTTGCTTAACCCATCATTACAGTGTCTTCTCCTACAGTCTATATGAACAAACTTCTGAGTGGCCTGTCACATTCCCTCTGCTCACGTTACCTTTTCCCTTTGACCTCATCAACTACACTTCCCTTGCTTACTCTACCATGTTTACCACATGGCTGGTCCTGTGACACACCAGTGCCTATTTCTTGTCCAGATTTTCATGGGCTGTTCCCTCTGCCTGGATAAGCTCAAGACTAGACCGTTCATCTTTGTGGAGGTCTTATATGCAATGACATCTGCTTCTAAGGCTTTCTAGGACCACCACTTTAAGATCACAAGACCCTCCCTATATGCAATTCTCTGTTTCATTGTCTTCATAGTACCAACTCCACTAGGACTTTGACTTTGTAACTTTTATCACTTGCATGTTTTATTTTCTGCAGTGTGGGGGTGGGTGTGGGGTTGTCTCTACCAGATACTATTGAATCACTATTGAATAATCTTAGAACATATTGAATGAGTATATACTTGGCGTCTGAAATATATAGAATAAAACTAAATAACATGCTATAATGAGTACAGTGATTACAGAAAAAATATTGAGTTTCCATTTCAGTAGTTAATTTTGTAAAAGGTTATAATGTCTACCTTGTCTGTTAGTAATCTACAATGTACATCACATTTAGAGTGAAGAAGAAAATGCCACTTTAGACAAATGCCAATCTAAGAAATGTCTGTAGATTTCAGGTTTTCTATCAACAGCTCTTATGAGTAACTGTAATTTATGTCTTAGTAAATGCCTAAAATCTTGGGTTTTCCTGTGGTGGCAGTGCTACACCACTGCTATCAAAACCATTAAGGCAACTGGGGGTGAGGCTTGTGCCTCTCATCCCAGCACTCAGGGGGAGGCTGAGGCAGGAAAATGGGCATGAGTTGGAGGGAAGCTTTGGCTCGTTATAATATCCTGACTCTTAAGCAAACAAAACAGAGCAGAAGTAGTGAGACATTCTGAAAGGTAATTAGTATGTGTTATACTCGTCCCTTAAAACGTTTCATTAAAATGATCTTGTTAGTAGTTGAAACTAATATCAGGAAACTCATTTTTATGACTTTCATGAGTGCTTTTTTTTCACCAGTGCTCCTCAAACTTTAATGAATATTTGAATTACCCAAGGTCTGGTTACAATGCAGATCCTTATTCAGTGAGTTTGGGGTAAGGACTGAGATTCTTCCAACTCAAACATGCTGCAGCCCCTCTCACTCTGGTCCTTATCTAGAATGGAGCCAAATTCCTTTGTACTCACCTTTCCCCAGTAATGTCATCATGGGTGTAATTCAGAAGCTTTGCTAATACATTGACACTCAGTGCACACACATAATAAAAACTTGCTGTTATAAACATCACCCAAATTGAGAACCAGGTGTGGGTCTGGTGAGGCTAGTTAACACTCTGTCCTTTACAAGGCATTGTGGGTATCTGATATTTCAAGAGACGTGGTTAGGTATCTGAACTGTTCCTTTGTCTCCTGGCTGTGCCTCAGAATTCAACTGCAGTTTTCTTGTTTTTGTAGTAATAGAACACAGAGGGGAAGTGGACTGAACTCTTTAGTCCCTGGAATACGCAATGGAATTGAAGGTGGCTGAGGAAGCAACCATGATATTGCTTCTTAACGCTGTTAGCAAACTTAGGAATTGGACTTTTAGCTGCACAAGCTTGCTCTGTTGGCACTGCTCATTCAGCGAGCTCCTGAAACACTGAGGCAGAGATGTCCAGGTGGACTGGAGTTCAAGGGTAAACTGACCTATCTGGGAACAGTCATCTAAGCACATCCTCCACGGGTCTGTTTCTCCAAAGGAGTTTTATTTGTTTGTGGTGAGCATGCTAACTCTTATTCAGTACTAGAAGACAGCAGTATGGGGAAATCTACTGTCCAGTAAACAGTGGAAGAGAGCAGGTGTGTCCATCTAGGTCTCACCCCCTACAGCCCATTCAGCTATGAAGTCACCAGTAGGCTGACTCGTTGATGAAATCAGTGTACTTGTTATTTAATCTCCTCTCAGTAGCACCACCAGTGGAGAAACAAGGCCCCCAGTCTTCTGAGAGACAACTCATAGTGCATTTCCCTTCTGACCTTGTTCACATCGTCTCAGTAATTATTTCTACAGTGCTTACAATGTACCAGGCATCAGATGGATTTTCCTGTCATTCACTTTATAAACTCCTACGGGAGGTTCTCTCTACATTCCTGTTGAAGAAGCCAAGGTCTGGAGAAGTTGAAGGACCAGTCCAAGGTAAGCTACACAGTAACAGCTTAGTCTGGGTGTGATTGAGCCTACCCAGTACCACAGTCCACACTTAATCTCTAGGGTACTGTTAGAGCATTAAAGCAAACTCCAACACTCCGGCTTCAAATGCCTGCTGTGTCATTGCTTTTTCTTTTTGACTCCTATTGGGACATTTAAATTCTGTGTTTAAGTGATAACAAAGTGAACTCCAGCTCAGTCGCCTGATCCCCTGAGCAAGATCAGGCTTTCGTATTTATTTCATCTCAATTATTTCTCTCCCGTTTTTCATTTTTTTTTATGGTGAAAATGATTCAATTTCTCACTTACTAGCAGGTTTCATGAACATGTAAATGAAAAATCTAGTTTCTGTAAAAATAAGTCTAGGGATTTATTCAGGTACACGTTAGCATGTAAAGTAGTCATGTAATACAAAATTGCTAAGATATGAATTGAAGCAACAGCTTCACGTATCTGGTGAAGCAATTTGTATATCAGAAATCTGATTTCACTTTTATGGATAGGCAAGCTCAGAATGACATACGACTTGGTTTGTTTAAAGACTGGCCAGATCTAGCTCCAGTTTGGGTTTACAAGTAGAGTCCTGTCTGTTGTTATATAGGTGATGAATTGTAGGAAATCTTGTCATGGGCATTAGAGTTTATTTGCAAAGAAATCCTGAAAATAATTACCATAATGCACAAAAGAAAGTAGCAAACATTCTTGGTTCAGAAAAAGGAAGCTTTTGTTTGTGTGTGTGGTGTATGTGTGTCCTTGTGGTCTTAATTCATCTCTCTGTCCTTTAATCCTCCACTATGAAAACTGCAGTCAATTCTTGTGCCGTGAAATTAAATTTCTAACCTGCTAGACTACCCTGAGATGGAAGACACCACCAGTAAATGACAGCTCAGCTTGATTTCCCTTTATAGCCTTGACTTTCTTTTAATTTATTTTCATGAAGGCAGCATAATAAATAAATGTATTTTTAAAGAAAACAGTACTCTTGAATTCTGGCATGTGTGTACATGCTTTTGTGTGTGTATGTATGTGTGTGTTGTACATCTATGAAAAAACTTCAAATTTGCATTTCAGGATGGAAACTTGGCATTGTATGTTTTATAGAGATTTTTTATGACTTAGTTATAAACCTACAGAAACAAAGCTTTATAACATAAATGATGACATAACCTTACCATATACCCAACTATAAATCAGTGTGCTTTGACCGTATTTGGAAAGTCAATTGAGGAAGAACTTTGAGTTAATGTTTTTTGGGGGGAGAAACAGAAAAGTCAATTCATTAGACATTCAGCTTCAATTGTGAAAGAAATGGGGGCACTGCAGTATCTTCAGTAAGGAGAGAAGCTGAAATAGTCATCATATAGAAGAAAAATTTACGTCAAGAATATTGTTAAGTGAAAAGAACTGTTTTAGCTGCTTTCCAACAGCAAAGGAAATATATGGCTGCTGGGAGCTACTGCCCCAAGGGATTATTTCAGTCTCACATGCTCTGCTGGGGACAGCAAAGGCCCACTTCTTTACAGCATTTGTGGCAGACGACAGAGCCTGGAGAGGCCCATGGACTATTTGCCAGTAGAGTTCGCATTGAACACTCGATGTCACGTGTGCTCTGACACTGGCCTTCCCTTCAGGTCATTTCAGGATAAGGTGCCACTGAGAAAACATAGCAGCTGACACGTTTCAGGGGTTTGGCTGGCATTCCAAGGTTTATTTGAGTTCATCTTCTTTCTCATTGGTCTGCAAAGCTCAGTGAAACCTCGTGTTTTTTCAGGGAGCATTTTTCGCTGCTTCCTGCCTGTGCTGGTATCAGAAACAGCAGAAAAGTTTAAGAGACAGAATTTTATACAATTCTTCTCTTAGGTAAGAAAGAACTCTCTGGGAAAAGGTGCAGAGGATTTGGGGTTAGAACTAAGGTTATAGTTTTTAGCAGTGCATGGCAACTGCTGACTGAGGTATTTACTACACTCAGTCTAACTGTAGTGCTGGGGATTCATTTGTGGGGATTATCTGGAACTCACACTTCCTACCACAAACTCTAGAGAATTCTTACTGATTGATAAGGGAGGCAGAGATACTCAGAGATGAAATGTTTGCTGGGATAGCACCAGGAGTCTGCAAACATCTTTGTTTCATGTTAAAGCTCAATAGATCACAATTGAGCTATTCTACCAAATCTCAGAAACTTAGGGTTAAAGGATCACTTATAGGATGATTCTCAATTTTCCATATATTATACCCTTTACTGTCTGCTTTGAAAAAAAAGGCAAACTAAATTCTTCCGTGAGAATAATTTGCATACCCACAGAGAAATGAAAGGGGAGCTCTGAGTACAAGACAGACTTGGACAGCCAAGAGGAAGGACCTCCCACAATACCATACCTCCTGGCTGACAATGGAGCCCTTGCATAATCCACACATCAAATGACTGTGCAGAACTTGCCTAAATAACTCTACAGTTTGGGCATCACCTACTTTCATTTTTATGGCTACTGTGACTCTGGAGGCTGAGGTAGGGGTCAAATCTGGAGCCAGATCTGTCCTATAAGTTCCACTATGTCCTCAGAGGGTAAAGAACAGATGACATGATTTCCTAACATCAGAGACCGTTATCTCTCTCCACAGCACCCCATCCCTCGAAACATGTAACACTGGTCCATGAAATCCAAAGATGTCCAGAGAGAGCACCGGAGATCCTCTGAAATGAAAAGGGGACTTCAAACCTGCTTCCTCCTGGGAAAGCCTCTGTGCCAGCGTGTTCTAGGAGGGCAAGTTCAATGTGCAGACCATTGGGGAGTGTCAATGATGGTCAGGGCAGTCCAGCAGCACTGTGGGGACTATACTTTGGCTATTAGTCTCCAGTCATGAAGGGCCCTGCCCACTCTGTCTGTCTTCTTTTGCCTCTGCTCTCTAAACTGAATTTCTGCACAGTCGGGAGGGCTGGTGCAGAGTTAAGCCACACAGAGCCAAGAAAATGAAGTCAGATGTCTCAGCAGCTTTCAATGCATCCTGATTCTCACCACCCCCAGAGCAACCATGAAGTAGGAGGGACCAGATGAAGACATTTAAAAATTGGTCCTGCTCCACAGTGATCTGGTGCAAGCTGGGCCTCGGCTGCTCTGAGATGACTAGGGAGGATCCTCTCTGTCTGGAGTCAGGACATGGGTGTGACTGTTATGCCAGTTCAGAAGCCCTCAGACAACCCAAATTTGACAGAGGATGGATGAAGCTAAACAAGACAGCATGAGCATCCAGCACTAGTGTATATTCAGCATAGTCATAGCCAACTTCTGGTCTTCAATACAGCCTGTAACAGAGAAAAGTGTGTGGGTGTTTGT